ATATATATACACATATATATATATTTCCATTACTCCCTGAACTCCCTCCTGAGACAGGCAAAAAATATCCCATCCCAACCCAAATCACACCAGGGATAAACCAACTTGAAAGAATTAAGGAAGCTACACCTTTTCTTTTTTGCTACCTGTATTTCACAGGCGCTCATAGAAACCTACAATGTCAAATCTGGAATGGCTCTTTATTAATCCTCTAGCTAATCCTATCTCAAATTACAGATGAAAAACCTGAACTTTTGAGTACTTCACTTATACATCTTTTCACTCTTCCCACCACCCCATATATACCTCCTGGCGCATGTTCCAAGGATAGCTTACACACACACACACACACACACACACACACACACACACACACACACATATATATATATATATATATATATATATATATATATATATATGTAATAACCCATATATCATCTTAAGTCCATATAACTCATTCTCTGACTTGAGCCTATCTATGCCCAGTTTAGAGGTTAGAAAGGAAAGAGGTACATGACATTCACACCACTGGTAGGCTTGAGACAAGACAGATATTAAGTATTTGTGTGACTTTCTGTATGGCCTACAGTCCTCTGTTCATTAATTGATATTTATTGAGAAACTCCTATTTGCAAGGCTTAAGTGCAGTGGGTGATACAAACCTCTTAAGGGTATGATTCCTCCTCTCCAGAAGTTCACAATCTCCTTGGGTACAAAAAAGTAATAATTCAAGGTTGTTTCAAGACTCATTCAAACCAATGAGGCGATGATTGTATAGGTGATCAGAAAATGTCTGTAAACAGGAAGGAGTTCTGCTGGGCTTTGAAGGACAGATCAGTTTTAGATAGGTTGAAGAAAAAGGGGGCAGGAATTACAGATAGTAGAACTATAGTGTGACCAAACGTATGTAGGCAAGGTTTAAGGGAACAGAAAACAGAAAGTATAGCTGAAGAGTTCAAGTGGGAAGTTACAGGAGATAGAACAATAAAAGGTCTTGACACCAGGCTAAAGAGTTGGGACTGTAGACAGTGGGGAAATACTGAAGATATCTGAGGGAATCAAATGATGATAGTTTTGTTTAGGAAGATTAATCTGATAGTATGCAATAAGAATTAGCACCATTTAAAAGTGGAGGTGGGAGATCAAGGGGGAATTATAGTTATAGTTAAAAATTAAAGTTGATTAGGCCTGAACTAGAGAAAGCATGGGATCATTGTAAGAAGCATTGAGAAGAAAGTACTTGATAGCTTATTTCATGTAGAACATAAGACATAAGAAGATAAAAGTGACTTCAGAATATATAACCACTGGTAGCATTCAATAAAAGCAAAAGTGATATAGGATAATGCAATGGCAACATGTCTTTGCTTCTATGTAGTTTACAAGGAACTGTTATTTACCTTACCCGATTTAACCATTGTAAGAAGCAGAGAAGAGGATTGAATTTAGGTGCTCTGAATCCAAAGCCCCTATGGTTTACATCACACAAGAGGAACCTGTGTGGGAGTCTTAACATATATTTTTAAATGTTGAATTCAAGGTGACAGAAGAACATTTAAAAGGAAATATCCAGTAGACAATTGGAAAAATAGAACCAAAATTAAGGAAAGAGATGGGGTCATACAATATAGATTTGGGAGTCATTTCCCTAAAGCTGATGAGAGGTTGAAACCATGAAAGGGAATGATCTCTCAAATGAATTAAATTAGAAAGAGAGGATGCTGAGGGCTAAGTTCTAATATGTGGGAAGTGGATGGCGGTGAAAACAGGGAAGAAGATGGGGAGGGAGTAGCCAGTGAGCATGCTTGTAGAAAAGAATCAAGATAGTAAATGTCACACCCCCCCAAAGAGGAAATCATCTCAAAGAAAGAAGAGATGTTCACTTGTATTAAGTACTGTAGAGGGGCTAAAAGAGAAATGATGGAGGCACAGTATTGGATTTAGCAGTTAGGAAGCCACTGTTTTCAGGGTCAAGGTCAAAGACATTTTTTTCAAGCATGAGAGCTGCTCTTAATAAAATCACCAGTTTAAGAAATTCAGAAAGTCAGACTGTTGTAAACACTGAGATTTTACACAACCCCAACTCTGAGTTTCTAGCTCTGCCAGTCAGCTTCCAGAGGATTTCATAATACTGAAGCAGAAAAAAAAATCTAAAGGACAAAAGCAGCCCTAACCGGTTTGGCTCAGTGGATAGAGCATCGGCATGTGGACTCAAGGGTCCCAGGTTCGATTCCGGTCAAGGGCATGTACCTTGGTTGGGGGCACATCCCCAGTGGGGAGTGTGCAGGAGACAGCTGATCGATGTTTCTCTCTCATCGATGTTTCTAACTTTCTATCCCTCTCCCTTCCTCTCTGTAAAAAATCAATAAAATATATTTAAAAAAATAAAGGACAAAAGCTGGCACTATTTTGATAAAATAATCTTTAATTGGGTGCTCAAATACATTTTAATAAAAAATGGCTGCTTGAGAATGTGAAGTACTATACTTGTTTGGATGAAAGAATTCCAGTTATTCCTTTTTTTTTTCTTTTGCAGCATCCATTTTTAAAATTAGCCAAGCCTCTCTCCAGTCTGACTCCTCTGATTATCGCTGCAAAGGAAGCAATTAAGAACAGCAGCCGCTAGGACTGCAAGCCTTACCCCGCACCATCTCCCTCATGAGTAAGACTGAAAACTCTGCTACAGCAAAGAAGGAAGAAAGACAGTCAAATGGGGTGGGGGGTTCTTTAACTTTCCAATGAATAGAAACTTCTTATAAGCCTTTTTCCTACTCCCTAAGATTATGTAATTTATTTGTAAGCCTGAATCGCAGCCCAAACAGGGCAGCAATGTCAAAGTGGCCATAAAGTGGTCACTTCTACCGTGAAGCGAAAGAGCCAGTAGTGAATCCCCTCATTTTGTGCATTCACTTTGACGAAAAAGGTTTCTCAAAGGTGCACACTCCCTCTTCATAGTGTTGTGTTTGTTTTTAAGTTAGAGAGTAGTCCCTCTTGCATTCAAACCTCTTTCAAAGCTCCTTACCCAATGTGATGTTTTTCACTTGCATTGTCATTAGATGTCCAGAAAAAAAGATGTCAAAAACGTTTTTTTTTTAAAAAAAAGAAAGCAAAAAATAAAATAAAAACAAACAAAAAAACAAACAAATGAACAAAAAAAGAGCAAGTACTGTGTGAATATGTGGAAGTCCATGCCCTAATAGAATTGCAATTTTTTATTCTTCTTCTACAGTGGTGGCTTGGTTTGTGTACCTGTTTTTCTGCACTTGCACTGGAAAAGGTTTCTTTTAAGATACTTTCCAAAAGCAAGGAGCAATATATGTGTTCAGAAAAGGCTTTAAAAACTTTATAAATAAAGCTCTGATGGTGAAATCCTGTCACATTTTCATGATGATGCTTAAGAGGCAGTTAATTTCTCATTTACGTAAATCAGCTTGTGCAATTTCATGATATGTGAAGAAGGACATACCAAAACTGTGGGACTCCTGATGAGTGAGTGAGTCCAGGTCCCGAACCTGGGAAATCCTCATAGGAGAAACCATACTTAAACCAAGTGGGACGCTAACCAAGAGCCAAAAGGAAAATAAGTATGAAGTACTGAAATTCTTGATGGACAGTAAGTAAACAAAATTTTAAAATACCTAATTTAGCCCTTTCTTGTGCATATGAAATATGTGCACTTAAAATAGACACATCAGGGGGAAACAAACCCATTAACTAACATTTGCTTAGGATAAAAGATGTTTATTTTGACAATTTATAACATCTTAAAATTTAAAATGATCTGGAGAACAAAGATTTTTTTGTAAGCATTCAACTCTGTAAGAAATGGGAGGTCAGTGAAAACTATATCCCAATCAACATTTGGCTATAAGTACTTGTTTCAATTTTCTTTATAGACCACCAATTTCTGTTTCAGCATATAGTGTGTTCATACTTAGTGTTTGGGGCTTTTGCATTTCAGAAACATGCTCATAAAGACTTGGAAGTTCTCCAGTGAAAATAATTAGGGTGTGCAATCATATACCCCAAGAAATATAAGTCCAACTGAATTCCTTTTGTGGCTTGGAGAAACCATAAAAATTTGACTACTATTTCACCATGTATCTATTTATTTAAAAAACAACAGTTGGCACTGCTTGAATCTTCTGAGAGTAGAAAAATATCTAGAGGATGTCTGCATAGAAAAGGATATGCTTCTCTTTTGAAAGAATTGTCAAATTTTATAAATTCTGCAAAGTTGTTTCTCGAAGCCTTTGAAAAGCTAACCGTTTGTGTTTTAGAAAGCTTCTTGATTAGTAGTGTATCTGAATAGAACCTATCCACATTAAGCAGGAGGGGGAAAGAGGTCAATGCCTTGGGCCTCTCTCCTCTGCTGAGATACATCCATCCATCTAACCATCCATTTATTCCTTATAATGAAAGTACTTTCATTAGAGAGTTTCTGCTAACCATATAGTACATATTTATGTTTAGATGATGACACCACTGGTGGATTTCCTATTTTCTTATTGTTTTCTTTAACTATAAAATTTGGGAGGGGCTTGAACCCCCACCCCAGAAATGTCCACAGTGGGATGAATGGGATAAAATAACAAATGTGAAAAGAAAATCAAATGGAAATATTAATTTGAAGCATACCACATTATCTTTGCAAAAATATGGCTGGGCCTGAATATTTTAATGCCACGCTGTCCTAATGAGAGAAAGAGGACTGTTAATTTTTATTTCAATTAAAATTAAGTATTTGAATGTTTTTTTCATTCATAGTGTCAGGGAATTCAATGAAATAATACCTGGGATGCAAAAAGAATTTAGTACATTTGATAACTATACCCTGCCAACGGAGAGAGCCTCAAACCTGGTTGGGGATTCCTACTAGGTAGTTGTCAAATAACATCCTTTTTATATCATAAAGGCCTTTTTTTGCAGGGGGAGACCTGGAGCAGTGATTCTTCATATCACTGTAGGCAGAGAAATGGCTGCTCTTTTATGCTTTCAATTCAGCATATTAACCATGAGAAGCCAACTACTTTATCACATCCCACTGTACCAAGATTTTATAATATATCCCAATAGGATTTACTCTTACAAATTTATATCTATGTCAAATTTAAAATAAAAAGTTTCTAAAGTCCCTTCCCCTATTGGAGAGTTATGTATATTTCTAATAATTATTAAGAGAGAAGCTGAAAATGATGCTGAAGAATTCACATTTGTTACACTTGAACAACTTGGATTCCAGATGGTTCATAGTTTATTCCATTTCCCTGGATTTTTTTAAAGCTCATCTTGACACAGGTGAGTCTATCCAGATCTTTGAAGTTGAAAATGTGCCCTGAAATAATGAGGGCATATGATCGAATGTTGATTCCAAAATGTCCTGAGATTGGAATAGGGCAGTGGGAAAGTCAGGGAAGGGTGTGAAGCACAGTAAAGATTATTTATTTAAGAAAGAAAGAAAAAAATAATGTAACAAGGATCCGGTGCGTTGTCATAATCCCATGAGGATTTTTGGATGACACAATCTCCTCAAATCAGTCACCATGTTGGGTAATGACTTCGTTCTTGCTGATCTCGTTTATGTGTCATTGTAAATATTTGTGTGTCCATGTTGCATTTTGGCTACTGGATGGCCAAGTCATATAATAAGATTTAATTCAAGTATTTATTCTTTAACTGTGTTATTCAGATTTCGTTCAGGCTTGTGAATTGCACCCCGTCATTTGAGTTTAACCACCTGATCCCTACATCTAACCTTCCCCTATGAAGCACATTCCATTGCTAAAAGAAAAAGAAATATGAAATTGCTTCCTGTTGTCTATATAAATGTTTTGATAGTTTGAGAAGTTTGTCTAGAAATAATATTTCTCAGCTCAAAAATTGTGTAAATAATTATATTACATTGCTCAATGGGTTGTTTATTTCTAACAAGGCTGCCAGTTCTCAGAGAGAATCTATAAATCACTTTTAAATAACATAAACAGGGATTACAACTATGTAAAAATAAGTGCATATGGAAAAAGACTGGGAACACAGATAATTGAAATCAGTTGTGTTAGGGTGGTGGGATTATGCAACATTATTTTTCTTTTAAAATTTTTCTTTGATATTATTATAATATTGCTTTATAATAAATAAACATCAGAAAGGGGACAATAGAAAAATAGAAAAGATGCCAGAAACAGATGCCTTCTGGCCAGAGCCCAGAGCATGCAGGGCACAGATGTTTTATAGTTACAATTATTCCATAGGCTTTATATTTGCTTGAGTGCTGAAGTTGGCACATGCTTGGGTATGGCACATGCTTTCTTAGGGGACTGTTATCTATAAGTTAAAGCTAGGGAGATGTTGCTATTAGAACTCTAAACACATCCTTCTGCTTTAAACCAGGCTGTCCTCCACTTTGGTATGTCATCAAGGTTTCTGTTTTGGTTACTTTAATTGGATAGGTGACATTTGATTAGCCCCCTTGATCGTATGTGTTTTAGGTATCACCCTTCTGGATCATTTTAGAAGAGTTTCAGATTGAATTTTGGAAGAAGAGAAAGATAAAATTTCCAAGTCCCACTTTCTTTTCTGACATAATATTATATCATCCAGTTAAGATTCTTCTTTTAATGACCAGTAGGCAATTCTCATTGATTTCACTAGAAGTTATTATGACTTGCAATTAAAAGCTGAATATGAAAACATTAAGAGAAATATTTAGAACTAACTTTGCCTGTTGACATTCAGTCACAGTCCTGCTAGCTTTGGCTTGAGATGGCCTCCATGTACTTTCTGTACTGCCTGGTTATAGGTTGTACACAGTGGTTGTCATTGTTAAAGAGAAAAGGGAGACTATCTACCAAAAGCGGGGAATTTCCTTGTAACTCACCAAAGAAATTTTAGGTGAGGACTTTCATAATGAGGAAGTGACCTCAGATGCTACTCAGTTTCACCAAGTGCAGACCCTGTATCTAGAGAATCCACAGGCTTTTCATTGAACATTCTCAACATAAAAATGTGTATGGAAGTCTTAACCTTGGCATCCCCAGTTGAGTCTCATGGTCCTTTTCTGAGCTACTTGCAGTTAATATTCAGTTAAATAAAGGCATGGCCAGTGATGCAAGCTTCTCCTAGTTTCTGAGCAAGAGGACTGCATTTCAGCATTTGTAAATTGACAGTCTAATAGGCCTTGGATTTTAAGTGAACTTAACACACAATTCTGAACATATATTTGCATGTGGATTGGGAAGAAAATAAATGGGGTCATGGAAATATTTTTCCAAAAAAATAATTTTTTTCTTGAGATTTGTTTATGATATAATTGTTTATTTGGTTAGCTTTAATTTTTTTCTCTTCTTTTCTGATCCCACATTACTTTAGTAACTAAATAAATATAACCTAACTCCTCACTCATTGGGAATGCCTGTTTAATATTAAACAATATCCAACCAAATCTGCAAATTCAGGAACCGATATATCACCTCCATGTGCACACTTCTGTGTACAAGTATACTGTGCTACAGGTAATATTTACTGCTATGTAATATAGTCGAACTTACAAGATAAACTTATAGAAGCTGGTTAGTGCCATCAAAGTCTCTGGAAGCTACCATCAGGTGAATGCTATCTCATAATACCAACAGTAAGGCAGATACCATGTTCACCTGATTTAGTACCTAAGAGGAAATCAACAGCAGTTATAGAAAATGTCAGAAGTAATGAAAGGAGTGTTAGTCTAGGAGTAAGGAGACCTGGGTTCTAATATAGGCTCTATTACTAATTTACCATGTGACCTTGGGCAAGTCACTTCACATTTTTGTGGCTGTTTCCTTATCTATAAATTAAGAGTATTGGATTGGCTGATCTCTCCA